AACAGCATACCAATCTAGAAATCGTAGGGGATGCTGACTCTCATCGAAAGCACCGACCTTCTTCCCAACACTAGCGGTCCTGATTATATGAACTCATGTGGACATTTCTACCCAGGGAAAAACTAAATCATAGATATATGTAGTAAATATTATCACAGAAACAGAAAGAAGCACAAGTTAGGCTGTAATTGCCAGTGATATACAACACTGCCACCTGGTGGTACAAGAATACAACTACACAGTGCACAATAATGTGCTAAATCTAATTAAATTAATAAACAAATAAGGAAAATAGCCTCATAAAACATGTAATGATATTTATACTGATTCAAGCTGATTAACACACTCAGATCTGAGGAGATCTCCATCAGTCTTCATAAATATCTCACATTTTTTAATTTCACAAATCAGGCAATTATTTGAAGGTCTTAAACAAACGAAACAAAACCGTCCAGGTCTAAAGAGGTCAAATGTCAGACATGTGCTACCTTTGCAGGTGTATCTGGTTGCTCTTACCCAGATCCAGTCTCTGACACAGCGAACCCAGGCCCTGCAGCACAGCCAGCTGCAGCTTGTAGGCCAGATTGTGTGTGTAGACCGGGCCGGCTTTGGCGCTGACCGGAGCCTGCCGCGCCAGTGAGGAGCTCAGCTTGGGTAGCACCTCTTTAGAAACCCTCTTTCGTAGGAAGTCACCGCAGGTTTCACCCAGCGTACACAGCACCTAATTGTGGAGAAATTGTCAAGTTCAAATCAATTTAAAAACAAATTAAAAAATAACTAGCAAAGTCTACGTGAAAACAGGTGTTACCGCTAAAAACATGCTAGTTATTAAGGGTAACCACAGAGTTTCAGGGTTTCTGCAGGTTCAACCAACTCAAATGTAAGACTTTCTAACAACCTGATGGATGAACTATAAGACCTGTACCACGGCAGAAATGTACAGAAGAAAATTGCATATTTTATGTAGTAGTGCCCAGCTTTTTGCAGCGAACGCAGATAGCATTGTACAGACTGCAATAGAAGTGAGACAGTGGCAAAGACGAATGCCGACCGGCCAGCTGGTGATAAATCTACACTTACCAATGATGGACACAAAAAAGCTAGCCAGCTACACTAGTAAGGGTTTACTAGCAGCTAGTTAGCGGTAGCCGCAACCACCTTGAGTCATAGATCATAATGAAGACGTCCGCCTGACTCATACCTTTTACTTTTTAGAAAAGTGAACTGCATAGAATATACAATAGTTCTTCCACAACAACAGCTTGTCATTAACATTTAAGGCCAAATTAAATTAATTTGATTAAATGTAGACATTTTAAAGGCCTTAGTTTTCTATGCAGAATTTAAGACTTTTAAGGATGTGCAGCCACCCCAAATTTAGAGAATTTACTAGCAATTTT